GTTCCGACTCGATGGCACCTGACAACAACAACATCAACATTACTGGTGAAACGTTTCAGTGAACTATGGAGAATTAAAATACTTTCTAGAGAAGGGAGGTTGGTGTGGGCTGCAGTGTCTTGAAAGGCTTCATCTAGGCCACAGGGCCTAACTGGGCCTTGACTGACAAACAGAGGAGAGGCAGGGCTGGCATTTCAGGAGGAAGACACAGGCATGGAGACACGTGAGCAAGGCATAACCTAGGGGAAGCAACCTAGCTAATAGTTGTGTGGAGAATTAGTAGATGAAGTTTGGCTAGAGAATAAAGGGGTTTTCGAATTCAGATGAAGTTTAGGTTGTGTTCTGTGTATCCAATGGGGACCAGGGGGAATAACTTTGTGGATAAGGTATGTTGTTTTTGTTAAGTGCCATTGCTCTGGTTCCTACTCATAGTGACCCTATATAGAGTTCTAAGCAGATGGTGGGTGGGTTTGAGCTGTCGACCTTGAGGTTAGCAGTCCAGTGCTTATCCTACAACGCCACACCAGGACTCCATAGAGAGACCAGAGAGACCAGCTAGAAGTTCATGCAATTGATCTATGAGAGCCAGGAATAGAATGAAAGGAGTGGGAATACAGATGAATCGATGAAAGTGGTATTTGAAGTCAGCATCATCGGATTTGATGTAAATCCTGTCAACTGGAGGTGGAGGAGAAAGAGGAACAAAAAGGGACCAGGACTTTGAGTTGTAGAGAACGAAGCTGCTGATGACATTGAGGGAAATTGTGAGGGGAATTTGGCCCAGGGTAGTTTTAGACAGGATGAGTTTGAGATGGCTGTGAAACTTTCCAGAGGAGTCGCCTAATGAAATACAGGGCTGGAAGTAGGATAAGCACTGGACTGCTAACTTCAAGGTTGGTAGTTCAAACCCACCAGCCACTCCTCAGAAATCCTGACTCTATGGCACCTAACAACAACAACAACCCAGAGAGTGAGTCCCCCTCACTACCCCTCCATACCTGGTAACCAGTAATGAATATTGGTTTCTGTATGTCTACCTCCCTGTTCTGTTGGGCAGAGAGAGATGGTTTGTGATTGAGTCATTTCCCTCAGCCTAATGTCCTCCAGATTCATTCATGTTTAACGTTGTTTCTAGGACTCATGATTCTTTTTGGCTACCCATTATTCTTTTGCATGTAGGTACCATATTTTGTTTATGTCCTCATCTGCTGCTGGGACATTGTTTCCTTCTTTATGCTATTGTGAACAGTGCTGTGATGAACATAAATGTGGGTCTATCAGTTTGTGTCACTTCTATTTAAACTTCTGGGCCTATACTTAGTAGTGGGATTGCTGAACCAAAAAGTATTTAAACTTTTAATCTTTTGAGGAAGTGCGATACCATTTTCCAAAATGGCCTTGTAGTATAATGCGCCAGCCACACTGTTTTGCATTCCCACTAGGAGGTGATAAAAGGCGCTCTGGTAGCTTAGTGGTTATGAATCAGGCTGCGAACCTTAAGGTCAGCAGTTCGAAACTACCAGCTGTTCCACAGGAGAAAGATGAGGCTTTCTGCTCCCGTAAAGATTTATAGCCTTGGAAACCCTGTACAGGTCAATATGAGGACGGAACTGACTCGTCGGCACATCACGACCACGAGTAGTATATAAGCGTTCGAGTCTCCCACATTCTTGCCAGTATTTTCTGTTTTCTGGTTTTTTGGACAATGCCATTTTAGCTGGGATGTAGTTTTGATTTTCATCTTTCTAACCCAAGCCATGGTATTTTCAGTAACCTCATATGCATACAAAAGCTGGACAGTGAATAGGGAAGACAGTAGAAGAACTGATGCTTTTGAATTATGGTGTTGGAGGAGAATATTGAAAGTACCATGGGCTGCCAAAAGAACCAACAGAGTTGTGTTGGAAGAAGTGTAGCCAGAGTGCTCCTTGGAGGCCAGGATAGCCAGACTTCGTCTCTCATACTTCGGACATACTGTCAGGAGGGACCAATTGCTGGAGAAGGATATCATGCTTGGTAAGGTGGAGGGTCAGAGACAAAGAAGAAGACCCCCAGCGAGATGGATTGACAAAGTGGCAGCATCAGTGGGCTCAGGCATGGCAACAATTGTGAGGCTGGCCTGGGATGGGGCAGTGTTTTGCTCTGTGGTGCAGAGGGTCGCTATGAGTCGGTACTGACTCGATGGCACCTAACAACAACAACAAACGTCGTTTTATATGTTGGTTGGCCACTTGATTGTTCTTTTACTTATTTTTGAATTGATTGTTGAAGTTTTCTATATATTTAAAAAATTAGACCCTAAGTGTAAATGTCATTTCCCAAGATTTTTTTCCCCAGTCTCTAGTTAGTCTTTTTACCTTTTTGATGAATATTTTTAAATGACTCCTGGTGTGGCACT